CTCATCCACTCTTGTGATCTGAAACACAGAAGCTATCTGCCTTGTTCAAAACCAAGTAGCATATACCTAAAAAGCCCTGAAGTTTTGAAGAATGACTTAAAAATAGTCCATAATAATCCTTAATTGTTTGCCTGGTCCTGGAAATTTCTATCTCCTAAGCTGTAGACAGGTTCAACAACAAAAAAAGGGATTTCTGCTTTTGTTGCCGTTCCACATACCATTCAGCAGTGAACACGGGTCTCCGTTCTCACAACAGAACAGACTACAGCCATCCCTGGGTATGACGAGTCCGAATTATAGACTCCACATTTCTGCCTTTTGCATTGACTGACAAATGAGCAATAGTTCCTAGGAACAGCAGGTGTGAGGAGAGGTGACTCCTGCCAGATGGTGCTAAAAAAAGGCCCAAGTCTAATACATAGGAGTCCTCCCATTAACCCATCCATAATCAAGGCAAAGTTAGGAAAAGGCTGCCCTCTCCACAGGCATGAACTCACACTGGGCACCGGGAGGTGACTTCTTGCTTTCTGTCTCTAGCTAAAAACAAAAAAAAACAAAACCAAAAACAAAAAAAAACTTGAAAAGAAAGAAAAGTTAAAGACAACAACCTGGGCCAGCTCTATGCAATAAAGCACAGTTCTATCGTCTTCTGGGGCCTTCTCCTGCCTCAAATGCTGTCCTTCATTTGAGACCTAATAGGTTTGATAGATGGCCATGACAACCAGGAGGGGAAGGCCATGCCATAGGCTTCATTCACACCCTCCAGGATGCGGTGGGTTAAGGGGAGGGCTCTTTTGTGTATCGGACTTGAGCCTTGGGAACGCATATCATAGAGAAGGCCTGATAAGGTAGTGCCTCTTAATTTTCTCTTTTTTAGGTTTTTGGCCATAGACAGTGTATGTTTGGAAAGGAGACAGAGACTGACTGACAGTGAAAAATCAGCCCCCAGTAGGGGATGGTTAAGCTGCAATCCCTTTTCCTCTGGGGATTTTAGGCAAGCACGCGCACACACACACAACCCTGGCCTGAGTTGTGACGCATCCGGTCTGGAACTCCAACCAGATCAGCCATGTGGGAATCCAGCCACCTTAACCACTGCCACCTGCTGGCCCCCTAGTGCCTCTTTTTTGCCAGAGCTTGTAACACTCTCCAAGACTACTGACTGGCTCCCCTGTCCTTGCTGTGGATATGAGTTAAACCTGCTGAGCCAGTTTCCTCTGCTATACAAAGGGATGAAGATTCCACCTAGCTCTCAGGACTACCCAGAACCAAATGAGATCACTCGTGTGGAAGGCTAGTACAGTCTGATGCATGCTAAATAAGCGCTTCAGAATAGTGACTTTCCTCCTTGCCGGAAATGATCTCACGCTACTCTGCTAGATCATCCTCACAGAAGCTTCTGGAGACTGGCTTGTCCCTAAGGGTCAGGCCATCCTTGGAACAATTGACTTGGTCATAGCACGGTAACTAGCTAAAGCTCTCTGAAAACGGACAAGAGAAAGAACTTGAAGGGTGCCCTAAAGCACTGGGTGTCCTCTAAGGCGTGGGTTAAGTGTTGGGATCCACAGACAATTCTGGTAACCACCCCTCCCCCAAATAATGATCAGGCCTTATCAGGTCATGGATAAACCCTCTGCCACCCAGTCTTCCAAAGCCACTCGGCAGGTAATGGAGCTGATATTAAAAAGGGAAGCTTCTGTTAACAGCGAGTGCGTGGACCCACATAAAGCCTTTTGTTTTCCGGGTTACCCAGGGATTAATGCGCTTACAAACTAGCTCCAAGAACAGGTGAGCAGCAGTAGAAAAGATATTCACGGATCTGGGCCGACCACCTACCATGGACTACCCGTACCTCACCCCGAGCACAGACCAGGCCGCCACCGCCAGGTCCTCAGAGCGCATGCGCCTCCCTAAGCGACAGGGCAGGCCCGGCCCGGCACGGCGGGGTGCCGACCGCCAACAGCCGATCTCCGGAGAGCCTCCCTGCGGGCCGCCCCGCCTGCGCGCTCGCCTCATCAGCACCTTCCCGGCAGCTCGGCCCGGTGCGCTGTCCCGGGGGCCCCCTGGTGGGTCACGAGGCGGGCGCGGCCCTGCCGGCCGGGTTGGACCCGCGCTCGGCACCACCCACCCCTGCGCTTTCCCTCCCCCTCCTCTTCGCTCGGGTCCCGGCTCGCGCCACGTCCTCGCCCCGCCCCCGCGAGCCTCGCGGGGAACCCCGGTGACGTCACCACCTTCCAGCTCTCGCATTCCCGCGCTCTCCAGAAAAGACGAGAAGGTGGTGACGTGTCCGAGCCGCACGTGC